TTCTATTCACCTCTGTGCTATTTGGGTACCAAACATTTCAATGTCACACATGTGTTATATTTAATCAATGTAGAAGACAAAAATAAAATTTTTATCTGAAATGTTTATCTAATCTAGCAGGAAAGTTTCTTGAGAAGCCCATCCAAATGAAGAACAGTCATATTTCTTACTAGAAGTTAGTAATAGATTCTACATTTTCCTGCGCATTTTGTTAGAATACGTACTATAGAAAATTTTTTAGCAGATACAAAATACAGATACATTTTACTCGTGATATGTAGAATTCCAGCCGGACCACTTCTGTAGCGGTTCAAACTAGTTTTCTCCCTAATATTCATGTTTCCATTAAGTCCCAAGGCAATGCTATGACAGCAGTTTTAATACATACTTACATGATATTGATAAGGATGCTAAATGATAACAAATGTACTTCAATCAAAAAACTACTCACGACTACATGTAAAACAGTGCTCGAGCGAACGCTATCGCGAGCATATAAATCTGTTTAATTCTTTACTGAGCGAAGTTAGTGTTGTGTATATTTTATGTACACATTTCTGGAGATTTAGACATTCGAACAACACACCTAATACGACTGATTGTCAACACGTAATTATTTATTAGTGTGTTTTACGTAAAACTAAAGGAATGAAGTACATCCACTTTTCATTTTTAATATTAACATTGCTAATGGTACTGCCGACTCATGGATACCGGATTTTGTGTATATTCCCTTACAATGGGAAAAGTCATTATCAAGTGACGGGAGCGTTGTGTAAAGCTTTAGCGCAACACGGTCATAAGATTGATATAATTAGTCATTTTCCATCTAACACTCCCATAGCGAATTATACGGATATAGTTAACCTGCAAGGAACCAGAAAAGCCATTGTCAATAATTTAACTCTAGACTTTGCGAAGCAAATTGATGCTGCATTAACATTTCATGTTGCCATCACCTTTGGAGGTGATTTGTGTACGCTGATGGGTCACGAAGAGATGCAAAAGTTCATCAAGAATCCACCTAACGATCCGGCTTACGATCTAGTTATTACGGAGGTGAGCAAATCGAAGTACGGTCGATATGTTTATTCTTCCTTCGCGCTTAATTTAAAGAACTTATGAGACGATTAATAATTTACAAAAAATTCAAGTTGTCTGTACATCGATTTATGAATTTTTTTAGTATTTTGGCTCAAGTTGTTACTTTGGGTTTGGTCGATTTTTGAACGTACCAGTAATAGGAATCGTGACGGGTCTGGAATATGCCTTCATGAACGAAGTTATAGGAAATCCCATGAGCAGCTCCTTCTTTCCCGGCCTTTTCGTGGAATATCCCGTGCTTGTGAATTTTTGGCAACGATTGCACAACACGATTGAAAATTTCATTCAGCCACGCATATTTAATTACTATTCATCACCTCAAACTGATGCGATGAGAAAGTACCTGCGACAAGATATGCCAGATGTTCGGGAAATCGAAAAAGACCTGGCGTTAGTGTTTGTAAATAGTCATTATTCCTTCCATGGAATTCGACCCGTTACACCCAGCTTTATCGAAATTGGAGGACTGCATGTGGAAATGGATCGATCTCAATTAACCTCGGTATGTTACAAAAAATAAAAATATTATTTGCTTTCAAGCATAAGGAATTTAATAAAGGAGAATCATTGAGTTTTTTAAACAATGAATATTGATAGTTCTAGTTAAGATGTAGCAGTATTATGACAGCGCATTGTGTNGTATTTTATAAATAATTGAACATTCTTGAATATTCTATCAAGGATGTTCGATCATTTACTCATTACATTAACGTTGCAGGAATTACAAGAATGGATGGACGCCGCAGATGATGGCGTGATATATTTTTCTTTGGGTTCTATGGTGAATATCGAAACGATGTCAAACAGTTCTCTAATGGGATTGTACGAGTCCTTCAGAAAAATTACGCCCATAAAAGTACTGATGAAAATTGCAAATAGAG